AAAACAACTCAAGGAACTTACGTGACCACAAATGATAGTTTTATTTTTTCATTAAAAAACGGAAACATTCAAAATTCAATTCTTAGTTGGGTAACAAATTCACATTATGCTTTTTACTATCAAGATCCTTTTAATCAAAACAGGATTGGTGTAAATTTTGGTAATGATCTATATATGAATTCGCAAACATCAAATTATTGTAGTTTCACTTCCTATTATGAAAAGAGAATTAGATCAGCGGATGGGTTTTTTTCTATTGTTGATTATGAAGTATTTAGATTGGTAAAGTTGAAAAATCATTAGAGTTTATTGTTAATGAGATTAAACTTGTTAAATGATTAAATCGTAACTTTATAAAATATTATATTGTTATAATTGTTATTAAAAAGGATTAATTCAATAAAAAAACAGATTTCGGAATAGCTTAAAACATATAAAAACTATTTTTAATTCGATCAAGGATATAGCAGATGTAAAAGATTTGTTATTATATATTAAATAATCTAAAGTTTATAGAATATAAAAAAAATAATAGTATCATTGACTTTTTAATGAATATATTATATTAAGACCTCGAAATATTAAAAGTGATGTACATTATACTACAAATCATTTTTCTTACTAGTAAATCACTTTTATGGCAAGAATATGTAATAAGTTAACAAAGACAACGACTAGTTTCAAAGGTTAGCTGGTTACGATATTTATATCATTTTTTTTGTAGAAACCTCAGCAATGAACTTCTTGTTTTGACTAACATTTAAATAATTTTTTAAAAACGTAGTTGTATCGATCTGCGAAGTTTGCAAATTTCATATGAATCATATTTAAAATCTTCCCCAAAACAACAAAATGTCTGTTTATACCGGTTCGACAAATAAGCACATGTGGCAAGTTTTACTACTTTGTTACTCTCTCAGTAATGTTGAAGCTTCGAAACGAATGTCAGACTGTGGATATTGTTGTGGAATAAAAAGTGGGTGTAGTAACGTGACACGCCGACGCATCACGTAATTAGCATAGTCGTGGGAATAATGGTGGGAAAATTAAGGTGGGAAAGTTCGGGAAGAATGATGTATGAAAACATGCGGCACAAATTATTAGCATGTAAACAACTTAGTATGTATAAATAGGACTGTTGAACGTAGAATTGTGTAAGCATTGAAGGATTAATAGTGTCCTGGCATTTAATAATAAAGTAATGTTGAAAGTACTCTCACCTTGTTTTAAAGTACGCCCGAAATACTTATAACTCGTGCTACGCGACTAAGCGAGAGAACTGAGGTTTGCTTCATAGGAAGGGTTCTATATTAGTCGATAGAGAGGTTAAAGTAAGACCGACAAAATTGAAGACACGCCTCAAGAGTAAAGAAGAAACTTACCTTGTTGTTATTTTGAAAGCGTTACGTATAGTGAGAAACCTTGTGTATTGGTGACCGCTCACCGATTTATCCCGTAACAATATTATAGTAATCTTTAGCGGATAAAGGAGAAAAGACAAATTGGAAAGAAGTGACGCAAGTCCTTTACACTTGCTCTAATACTATATGGATATTTATTAATATTTACCGTTTATTATCAAGGCTCTCGTATAACGTGTTGTTGGAGTTACTCTGAAGAATATTGTTGTGGAAACAATAGGGATGGGAGCGCGTCGCGTAAAGTAGTGATAATGGCCGTAGAATGATATGATAATTGGTAATAGCATGTAACCGGGTGAACGTGTCAACGAGGCATATAAATAGGATAGTTTTCCATAGTTTGGAACGGATAGTCAATAATAGTCAGTCAATAGTTAGTTAGGGTCTGTTCGAAGTTCTATTTTAGAGTTTTAGAACGCTCCTTGACCTTCCCTCGCTTTATTAAATAAATGCTACAACTGCGCACAATAACATTGACACTCAATAAATTATAAACCGAGAATACCGCCCCTACAGTAAAGTAAAAGACTTTAAGGGAAAGACACAACGTTACCTTTTGCACCGTAAAGAGACCTGTAACCTTGAGACGCTCCTGGAGGGATGGTTAAGAAGAGATCGACAAGTGTGAAAAGTCGGCCAAATTGTAACCACCTCAGAGTTAAAATCTTACCTTTATTTAGTGCCGAAATCCAAGCGTTCACGCGAAGAGTGCACCGTTTTAGCGACCGACTCGCCGGTGACAACAACAATATGAACTTTGTGTATAAAAGTTTAATGTTTATCGCGTGGACTGATAATGACGTTATTATATGTATATGGGTTGCAATCAGAGCCACATGAAATTTGTATTGGCGCGATAATATATGCTTTTAGTCACATTAAAATGAAACGCACAGGTCTATAGTCTTGGATCAACTCGTAAGCAATAATTTATTTATTTATTTTGGTCATTAATGCCATCATATTAATCTTGATTATTATTTAAAGGAACTTGTGCTGGCGGTCAAGGGAAAAAAGTCAATAATTCATTTAGACCCCCAAAACCATTCGTAGATTCACATGATAGTGATGGAAGTGCACGCTTCATTTTCGTTGATTTTGGACTTTCCAATCCATGGATCGTGATTTCATATAATGCATTTTTATTTTCGTGATTGCCCTTGGCCAAATATTGTCGTCAAAATTGCGTACGGGAATCAATTGCCCAAGTTAAAGAAAAGTGAAGGGATATTGACTTAAATTTAATCGTGCTCATGATGCAATTGTTGTCAAAATCAATCCTGTCCCTCAAGGTGTTATGCTATTCGTATGATCGTAAGTTATATTTATAAGCATAGCAATCTAGCTGTTTATGTAACATTCTAAAGATTTATCATTACAGACATGGCACTGCAGCGTTTCAGATAGAGTAACAAGAAACAAATTACCACATAAAATTAAGGTAACGCCAAACTGCAATAGTTCTTTTTTTGTTGACGTACTGTATTAAATTGAGTACATTAATTATTAATTATTAACTGCTAGTTTGAATTTGACTTGTAAAACGGTAATCAAAATGCACTGAATATCCCAACTTGGTGCATGTGTCATTAATATCCGACTAGAGTGTATTTATCATGATTTAGATCCTGTTATATAAATTCCTCAAAATATAGTATTTCTAATCAAATCATTTTAATTTCTATTATGTCCAACAAGCGATTACGTTGGTAGAGAAAAATAATGAAAGCATGTGTTTCCAATAACCTAAAAACATTAAGAGATAATTACTATATTGTTAACAAGATAATACAGTATTATGCATATCAGTTTAGCTGGGACCAAAATTTTACTCATTGTATATACGTATTTTATTAGTAAAATGTCACGGCTGTGCCTATCTTCATTTATCAAAAAAATTCTTGTCGAATCGCATATACAATATGTATAGTATATGTATAGTATATTCACATTTTTCTAAGTAGATTTGCATATACGACATTTCGTGTCTTCAGTTCATGCTACTATTATCCTGACAAAACAATATACAGATATACGCATCTTTTCGAGCACCAATATTTTGCATACGGGATTTGGAGATGCGATACTAATCCTAAAGTCATTTTTGTTGATTTGCAAGGAAGAGTTAGCGCAAAGAAGAAATCAAAGATTTATTCAAAATACAAACTTTAATTTTAATAAAAAATTTCTTGTGCTTTATGTTTCATAACGCGTAACGTATCTACGACTGATTCATAACTAGCTATTCGTTCATCTCATTTGTTACATTATAATAGCGTCTATTCATAATACGTTATTGTTTCCCATCATCCTCAATCGCGTCACGGAAAGATTGCATCACGGTACCCTACTACATTATAGGCTTATTAGGAACACGTAAAATCAATATTTCAATATTCTTATAATAATTAATAGATGGTCAGTTTTGACTTCCATAAAAGCTTATCTATGTCAAAGCTTTAGATGGACTTTTCAAAAGTCTCCATTTGATTGTTCAACAGAATTCTTATCCTCTGAAAGTTGAAAAAGCCAATGTACATTTACCTAAAAATAGGGAAGGTACTTTCTTTATTGTATATTGTAAATAACCACTACTGTAGTCTTTATTGTCTAAAAGAAGTGTGTTGAGGTTTTTATGTCCAATATTTTCGACAATAAGAAAGATATAATATATTTTTGATTCTTCTAATGATCTGTTTGTTATGACTTTAAAATTATCATCTCGATAACCATTTGATCTATTCTTTTTACCGTAAAAAGATAAACAGATTGTGGAACTTTATGAGATAAATAAGTACAAGAGGTTTACAATTAACTATCATCCTAATCTCAATAATTATATGGTAATCCTTAAGGGAAAAGACAAAAGCATATCCGTTCATTATTTTAATTTTTGCACATCTTATTTACTGGAAAATACGATTTTAAGGATAATGAGAATATTTGACAAATAACAAATGGTTTTTAGAGTTAGAATGATATTGATGATATTTAAGAGTTGTTTCCAGATTAGGGATCACTTTGTGAGATAAATTATGATCATTATTATTAATTAACTTAATAATTATATTATAATCGAAATACTGTATATGGTATTATAAAATATGTTTTCGTGCAGCCTACAATGAGAGCATATTTACGGTAAGGAATAAAGGACGCAAATAACTTTTAAAGTATTATGAAATGTGTATACTGTATATGCTTGAAAATCATCACTAAAATTATTTACTAAAACACATCTTTATTTATACTTATCATAAGCATTATTTGAATATTATTTGATATTAAATACTTATATATTGTAAAATAAACCAATGTTTTACTTATATTACATTATAATTAAGATGATTATCATAAAAATTTATAATAGGAATGTACACATAAAGCAATTATTTGATAAGTTATAAAGATTAAACAAATACATTAATTTTGTGATCTTGCTTTGAGATTCAAGAGTGAATTTAATTTTTTGAATATTATTGCTTTTATTATGCTTTAGTTTTTTCGATACTCATTTAATTTGCTAGTTAATATACAAATAACTATGGGTGAATATAATAATCAATTACTATAAGTTATTAGACAAATTTCTTAAAAAACCTAACAAGATAAATACAAGTATATGTCTTATTAAAAAGAATTATTATTTAAATAATAAGCAGAATCAATTCATATGAAAATAAATTACACTTTAAATAAATATTTGAAAAATGAATATGTTTACAAATTATTTTCAAATAGTATTTAATTTGTAAATAACCATTTGTCAATTGACTAATTAAATATTTATTGTATATATAGTGTGTTGCAAAATTTTTTAAAATATTATTTTTAAAACATAAATACAAATAACTTTTTCTAACAAAAACAATCTAAGTAAAATTTTAAATATGTAAACAATATATTTTAATAAATATACAGTAGTATTTAAAATTTTTTAAAATTTTTTAATATATTTAGCTTAATAAAATATTATTTAAATCAAATAAAAATAAAAATATAAATATATAAATACTATAAAATTACTTTTACTTATAATTAGTTTATAGATTAAATCATTATTTTTAAATAATATTTTTAATTAAAAATTTTATATCATATATTAATTTTATAATTTTATAATAAATAATATAAAAACAATGTATTTTTTTGAAATATAATATTAAAAAATATATATTTAAATAATATTACTAATTATATAAATATTTTAATTGAGATTATTTATTAATATTCAAAAGTTTATTTAATTTTTTTATATTTTTTAGATTAAAATTTATTAAATAATAATATAATTAGAGCTTCTAACAATATTACTTTACCATTACTTTAATATTAATTCAATACTTAAATTTACTATAAATTTATATGAGTAGATTATAATTTATATATTAAATTTATTATAAATCAATGTCATTTCAATACTATTTCAATACTTTCCAGAACCTTAAATCTGATTTTTTAAAAAAAAATCAAAAAATTTTGAATACCAATATATATTGTAGTAGGGACCAAAAAATCAGATAGATTCAACATATGTCATCCTCGCCCAATTGGGATTTAATTGGGGCTTGAGGAATTTTTGGGATTTTAGGGATTTTTGGGATTTCTTAACATGTATATAAAAAGAGGAATGTACTAGAGAAAAAGCAACAATAAAATACCATCCTTTTACTATAAAACTCAGACTATTGTCTAATACTTTCACTTACCTCATGCCATATCTCCACGCCTCTTTCAACATTACACGATCGGCAATCGTGACGTAGCAACAGACTCGCCGTTATAACCCTCAACAATATATATCTTTAAAAATTCAATTTATTTTTTTTTTACAAACAAATCTTTAAAATAATATATAAATAATCAAATATATAATAACAATTTATATTTGTAATATAATAAAATTATTACTATAATAAAATATATTTCAGAATTCATACAATATATTAATAATATATTATAATTTTAAATATCAAATTCAATTATTATAATTAAAAAAATTCAATAAAAATTATTTTAATAAAACTATTTCATATTATTATATTTGATTTTTACTTAAGATTTTCATTATTTCTTATCTGATTTTCATTAGCATTTACTTTTGAATCATTGTCTATTCTAGAATAATATTATTGTTTAGCATTATGCTTTTTATGCTATTGTTGCTTTAAAATATTTTCGATTTTATTCATTTATCTTTACTTTTTTATCTTTATTAGAGCATTTATCTCTATAATAATATATACAGATGACTGTTCTAATAAATATAATATTTCTTTTATATTTTTATTATCTTAAATAACTCATATTTATTATATATAAAATTATTATAACTTAAATATATATATATAGTCTCCAATTTTGCCTAAAAATTAATAGGATTAAATTTTTATTTTATCAAATAAATATTTTAATCTTTATTAAAACAAATCATTATTGCCTCTTTTATTTAATATTATATATCTCAAAACTATACTAATTTTAATATATTTAGAAACTTTAACATTTTATATTGATCTTTCCAAACAAAGTATCTCTCTGCTACTAGTTTTTTATCTTTATTTTTCTTTTGAAATAAAAACAATATATTATAATAAATAGTATTTTTTTTAACTCAACTAACTGGGTCCTGCCTAATATACTTTTATTTATTTATATATATATTCATTATATTTTATAAGAAGTTACTATTTATAAACTATTTTAGATTAATATTGAACTATATCAAATTTTACTTCTATATTAGCTTGTTGCTATTAATGCTATACCTAAAGATCTTATTAGTCAAAACTAATATATTAAAAAATTATTAATATTGTTATTATATACTAAGTTCTATTTTTAATCAAGAATGTATTAAGAGAAAGTTTTTAAAAAAGAAAATTAAAAGATAGTATCTATTTGACAAATAGAATTTTTTAAATTTATATATTTTTATAGATTATTTATATAATAGAGAATAATTATTTAAAGAATATTTTTTACCTTTATAATAATACAAATTATATTTTTGTCTTTGAGTTAATAAATAATTATCATTCTTTTTATAAATTTTTTTCTTAATTAAATACAATTTATTGTTTAAACTATTATAATATATTTAAATTTTTATAATATATATGATGTTTTTATCTAATTAAAATCTAATTAAAGC